TTAAAGTCACGTCGGTCACTCTTGGAGCGCTCTTGTGCTCTCTTGGGGGTCTCTGGGACGTCTCCGATGACCCCCCTGATCGTCCTAGGTGTGCTGGGCAGGCTTGGCAAAACGCCCTGCGAGGCCCAGGGGGCCGCTTCCAGGCCCGTCCGGAGGGTCCCAAACCCCCGGATCCCGGGAGTCCGGTTTTTTTTGGGGGGTCCCCCCGCCCGGGCTTATAAAAATATCTGAAGAGGAATACATGTCTTCGCAAAAACAATGTTCAAAACTAATGCGCTCGGGCTTTTGCGAATTCTTAGGGAAACAATTGGTCGTTATGTTAACATGTTCAAATTCGGCCAAACGGCCCCCTGGTGGCGCACGTCGAAATCATTCGAACGCGCTTGCGCGCGGCCTGGGGGGGAGGGGGGCACGTTCCGTGTCAAACAACACCATGCGGGCTCCTCTCGCGCGTCGGCCGCGCGCGCATGTCAAACTCCCTCCAAAACCTTCATCACCGACGCGGGGGCGCCGGTATCGTCGTCGGCGTGATCAACATCGGCGCCGTCAGTGGCTTTGCCGTCGTCGCTGTTATCATCGGCACCAACATCGCTACCATCGCCATCGCCTCTGCCGTTGTCGCGGTTGCCATGATACCGCGCCCGCACAACTCGCCGACTCGCACTGAAGTGCCCGCTGGGAAGTGCCCAACGGTCAGCGCCACCGCGGCCGCAGAGATGCACCAGCCAACTCCAAGCACTCATCGCAATCACAGCTGTAAAAAAGGCTTTGCAAACCAAGTTGCGGGTGGGTGGGTGGGATGATTGCGCGAGCAATGGAGTGGACAACGCACTGCGAACAGAAATGACTTGTACCACAAAGATTGCACCATTTAGGATGCACCACATAAGCACCACCTATGACTGACCACATCGATTGCATCTCATAGATTGCGCAACATGAATTGTACCACATACATTCGTTCACATGGAATGAACCCCAGATGTTATGTCACAGATGCTGCACAACATCTACTGCACTACGTAGACTGCACTACACCGACTGCGCCACATATCTTGCACAGTATTGTTCCACAGCATAGATTGCACATATCACATTGCACAGCATAGCATGTACTACATAGTTTGCACACAGCACACTGCACAACACACAATGCACAACATGCATTGCTCACGGAATATTGCGCAACACAGATTGCAACAACAGTTTGCTCTCAACAGATCGGACAACATGTATTGCACCACGCGCGTTGCACCGCATATATCGATATAATCTGGGCATCACGGATTGCATCACGCGTATTGCTTCACTTGTACAGCACAACACAAGTTGCCCAACATATATTGCAATAGAAAGATTGCGCGCGACAGATCGCAAACAATACACATATTATACAATATAATAGAAAATGAGTGGCACACGACAGATTGCACAACAGACATCATGAAACATAGGTTGCACCACACAATTTCCAAAATATCTACTGCTAGCAGCACACTGCTTGGGGTCCACGCGGGCTGACAATTGTACCATTCGCGGAACGCCCCTGACCGGCCCCGCCCCCCGGCCCGGTTCGCGCCAGAATCTGCTATCCCTAAGCGTTCCCAGACGGCGCCGGCGCGGATCGTGACGTGACGGGCCTTCTCCCCACCACAGGCACGCCCGTTCTCGCCGGGGAACAACAAAACGGTGTCCACTCCTGGGGGTCCGCGAGAACGTGCGGGGACTGTGGAACAAAAACACAGTGTGTGTTTTGTTTCCGCTGTGTTTTTTTGTTGTGTTTGTGCTTTTGTCCTTAGTGTGTGCTTTTCCACGTGTGCGCGGTGACCTCGAAACAAAAGCCCGCAGGACTGCACCGCACAGTCCGTCACCGCGCAGCTTCTGGGGGCCTCGGAGGCCCCCAGGTCGCCGAGAGACGCCCGCGGAGAACGGTCCGAGCTCCAGAGCCGTGCGGCCCGAGTCCCCCGAAGCACCGTTCGGGGGCCCTTAGACACCTCCCGTCTTCGCGGAAACACCGCTCTGGCCCACCGGCTCAGGGCCAATCTCGAGCGTCGGACGCATCCATATCCATGCCCTCGCGGTCTGGACTCCGGGGCGCCATCCCGCGGATCCGCGGTGGCACGGGTACGTCCCGCGCGGGGCATCCAGGGGGTCGCCGCTCAGGAGCCCAGCCCGCGAAGCCGTGGATACGGATACGGCGCATTGCGGCGACCCTGAACCCAAAACTGTTGCCATCTCTTGGAAGGCAACTTTCTACTCCAGCCGGCTTCCGCCGGCCCTCCGCCAGCTTCCGCCAGCGGGGCCGCCCCCTGTTTACTTCCGCTGCCTTCCGCCGACCCTTCGCCGCCTTCCGCCGAGGTGAAGGTGGCAACCCCTTCGATCCTCGACGGCAGGGCCCTTTCTTGACGAACGATCAACACGCACCCATACCCATAGGGGAGACGGAATGAGCTATGGGTGCGTGTTGTCGGATAGGGGTCCCCGCTCGAACGGGAGCCTCCCCAGGGGTCCGACAACCCGCACCCATACCCATAGCCAGTCCTTCTCCCTCCGACCTCCCTATGGGTATGGGTGTGTGTTGTTAGTTCGTCATTTCTGGAGCGCCGCCAGCGCGGCGGGGCGCGCGACCTCTCGCGCGGGCGCGAGGCGCCCAACCGTGCCCGCGGCTTCTCCGCGAGGGGCGGCTCGGGGAGGCGACGCGGCGCAGGCAGATCGGCCATGGCTTCCAGCAGCAGCAGGCACGGTCAAAACTGATAGCACGCATGCGCGATGGGGATGCAGTCGGGGCGTTGACCTAAGGAACCCTAAGTAAGGAACGAGGCCCCTTTTTCCTGAGGCAAGCTGTGGAACACTTAAGGAACGCGGAGCCCCTCCCCAACGAAAAGGGTCCCTTCTTCAGGGCCCCGGCTGTACACAAGCCCCTTGGACGCCCGCGCCGAGGCTGTCTCGAGCGCGGCGGGCCATCGAAAGCAGTTTGAGGATGGACCAGAGAGGCACGACAGAAGGTGTACCCTTGGGAAGGCAACCCATCCTCACCATCGGTTTCGACTGTACGAGCAGTTAGACGACATGACAGCGGCCAGCAAGGATGCCGACTGGCCCACCAGCCTCGAAGCCCGAGCCTCCAGGGCCCAGACTCCCTCCCGACGAGGGGCACTGGAGTTAGGACGGGCATGTCATCCGACAGGCGGATGTTCGAAGAAAAAGTAATGGAAAAATCGTTCCCAGACTGTTTTTGTGACGATTTTTGAATATTCCTCCTGTACTAGAGCTTTCGGAGGAGTGAGGGGGAGGGGGGAGGGAGGGAGATGGCAAAGAGGAGAAGTCGGAGAAGGGGGAGAAGAAAGGGGGGCAGGAGGTGAATGAGGACCACCACCACGAAGCCAAGCAACCGGCAGGACGCGTAGGCAGAGCAGAGCACGGTTGACAACTCTTCGTAAGAAAGAATTTCATATACATGAGAGACGTTGACGAACAAATTCGCATGAGCACGCTAGGGGGGGGGCAGGGAAGACAGAGGGATGGCATCACTCGTTGGGTCCGTTTACGCACTTCTTTGCTCCATTGCTGTGGCGGCCGACCGCGCCTCCGGTTGGAGATGAAAGTCGTCGCCGTCCCGTCGTCGTTGCAGCACGAGGCACGCCGGCATGCCCAATACTTGGCACCACTTTTGCAGGGCAGGTCGACTGTGAAGGCCCTGGGGCCCAAAACGGGCCTCGAGAATAGCCCAGACGGATGGCTTTCAGGCCCAGCGCGGTGCGGAGGAGGAGAAAGGCGGCGGCAAGAGAAGGGGGTGGAAGAGTATGTGGCGGATTCCGGAAACCCTGAACCACAAAAAGTTATCATCTCTTGGGGGCGCATCTTTTACTTCCGCCATACGAAGGGGCATCGGAGGAGGGCAAGGCGAGACATCGGTGGTCCTCCTCCCCATCATCTCGCAATATGTCACCCTCTGCCCTCATCAAACTCCCTTCTCCTAACCTTCCCCTTCTCCGCTTCTCCGCGTCCTCCTCCTTCCTCTGGCTCACCCCCTCCTCCCTCCTCATCCTCTTTCTCCTCCGCTCTTCTCATCCTCCTCCTCCTCCTCCTTGTTCATTCACTGCTCCTGACCTCACTCCCCAGACTCCTCAGGAGCCCTCCTCCTCCCACCTCCTCAGGGTGGGTTGAGACATCGGCCGCCCTCCCAAACACTGATGATGAGGATGAGGGTTATCCGCGCAACTGTTGAACAGAGCAAACTCAAAGACAGTAACATGCAAACGTGACGAGGTCACGGGCCAAATTCCCACGTCGATCCGTCTGGTGCTGCGATGAGGACGAGGGCGATGAGGAGGAAGGGGAGGAGGAGGGGGAGGAGGCGGAGGAGGAGCAGGAAGAGGCGGAGGAGGAGGAGGAGGAGGAGGAGGAGGAGCAGGAAGAGGCAGAGGAGGAGGAGGAGGAGGAGGAGGAGGAGGAGGAATTTGAATATAAGAAGTAGCTCGGAGGCAGAAGCGTCATAGATGTCCGATGTCCCAGCTGGCCCTGCTGTATCGAAGGGGGCCGTTGTCTCGAAGTGTCCCTCTCTGTGAATGACGGGGACCAGGAGGAGGGAGAAGAACAAGAAACATAAGACAAGACGAAACATGCTTCACCGGCAGACAAATGCGAGGTGGATGACGGGGACGAGGACAACAACCACAATGAGGACGAGGACGAGAGCGAGTAGGACGAGGGCGAGTGAAGATGAGGACGTGGACGACGGAAGAAGCAGGAGGACGTGTACGAGGACCATCAAGGATGGGGCTGTGGAGGACGACGAGCAGAGAGGAGGATGTGGACAAGGACGACAGAGGAGGAGGGGAAGGACGACAGGAAGGGAGGAGGAGGAGGCGGAGGAGGAGGAGGATGAGGGGAGAGAGGGGAAAGAGGAGGAGAACGTGGAGGAGGAACCGGGCGCGGAGGCGAGGCAACGGCGACGAGGACGGCGCCGCCGGCCGCGGCGCGCGCGGAGGCGCGGCGTCCGACGGCCCCTCGCCGTAGGCGCTGTGCACGGCCAGCGGGTGGAGGGGCCCCCCGGCCGGCCACGGAGGGGGCAGCGGCCACGCGGCGCCGCCCCCGAACGCCTCCTGCTCGCCCTCGGCTGCCCCGGCCTCCTCGCCCTCCTCGCTCGCTCGCCTGCCGCCCAGGCTCGCCCTCCTTCTGCCTCCTGCTCCTCCTCGCCGCCTCGTCCCTCGTCAGTCGTCCGCCTGCTCCTCCGCCTCCGCCTCCTCCTCCCCCTCCTCCTCCTCCTCCTCCTCCTTGGGCCTTCCTCCTCCTCTTTTAACGCCTGGCCGCCCCCCCGCCTGGGCCGGCCCGGGGGGAAGAGGACGAGCTGCAAGCTCCCCGCCAGGCCCCTGGCGTCGACGGCCTCGGGCCCCGCGCCGTCTCGCGCCGTCTTTGCCGTCGTCGTCGAAATCGCCGTTCGCTGTCCGCGCTCGCTGTCTGCACTGACCGCCGCCGTCTCCATCGCCGTGCGCCGCTCGCCTTTCGTCGCCTACCACTTGGAGGCGCCGTCGTTTGCCGTCCGTCGATCGTCGGCGACGCCGTCGCCGTCGCCGTCGCCGTCGCCGTCGCCGTCGCCGTCGCCGTCGCCGTCGCCATCGTCGTCGTCGTCGTCGTCGTCGTCGTCGTCGTTGCTGTCGCCAGTCGCCTGTCGCCTGTCGCAGCAGACGTCGTCGCCGTGGCCGTGGCCGTGGCCAGTCGCCCTTTTCTGTCGCCGTCGTCATGGGCCGCGCGCCATTCCTGACATCTGCCGAAGCACCGTCTCCTCCCTCGTATTCGTCCTCACCCAGATGCTCCTCCTGCTCCTGCTTTGCGTATACCTCGCCTATCCTTTTATCTCCGTGCTCCTTCTCATGCTCGGGCACCTGACCCTTCTCCCTCCAGCCTCCGTTCTCCTCTCATGCCCTCATCTCCCTCCTCGTCCTCACTATCCTTCATCCTCCTCATCCCCCTGCTTCTCCTGCTCCTCCTGCTCATCCAGCTCTTCCTCCTCCTCCTCCTCCTCCTCCTCCTCTTCCTCTTCCACTTCCTCCTCCTCCTCCTCCTTCTCCTCCTCCTCCTCCTGTTCGTCCCTCCCTACTTCCCGCCCTTCTCATCACTCCAGTTTCCTCCTCTAAACCTGCTCATCCCTCGTCCAAGCTGCGTCCTTCCCTCCTTCTCCGCCTCTTTATCGTCGTCCGCCTCCTCACGATGTGGATGATCCTCGCCCTCATTTCGGGCGTGGCCGAAATTGTTTCTCACAAGGTAAACTGGACTGGACTGGACTGGACAGAGGTAAACTGAACTGAACGGCACTGAACTGAACTGAGCTGAACTGACTGGTCGCACTCGTTACGCGACGCTATTTTTTCCTCGGCGGCAGAGGGCGCAACCTATGGCGCAACCGATAGGAGACGGTTTTATTCTTGTCCCCAGAGGGCGCAACCTATCGCGCAACCGATAGGAGATGGTTTTATTCTCGGTCGCCGAGGGCGCAATCGATAGCGCAACCGAAAGGAGACGGTTTTATTCTCGGTGGCCGAGGGCGCAACCGATGACGTAACCGGTAGGAGACGGTTTTACTTTCGGCCGCAGAGGGCGCAATCCATGGCGCAACCGATAGGAGACGGTATTCTTCTCGTCGGTCGAAGGCGCAACCGATGGCGCAACCGATAAAACACGGTTCTATTCTCGGCCCCAGAGGGCGCAACCAATGGCGCAACCGACAGGAGACGGTGTTATTCTTTGCGGCCGAGAGCGCAATCCATGGCGCAACCAATAGGAGACGGTTTTACTCTCGGCCGCAGAGGGCGCAACATATGGCGCAACAGTTATATTGTTATATTATTGGCGGCAGAGAGCGCAACCCAGGGCGCAACCGCTAGGAGACGGTGATATTCTCGGCGGCCGAGGGCGCAACCGATGGCGCAACCTATCAGAAATGGTTGTATCATCGGCCACCGAGGGCACAACCGGTGGCGCAACCAATAGGACACGGTTATATTCTCGGCCCCAGAGGGCGCAACCGATAGGAGACTTTTTTATTCTCGGCCCCAGAAGGGTTAACCTATGGCGCAACCAGTAGGAGCCGGTTAGATTGTCGGCGACCGAGGGCACACCCTATGTCGCAATCAATGGGAGACGGTTTTATTCTCGGCGGCTGAAGGCGCAACCTATGGTGCATCCGATAGGATACGGTTTTATTCTCGGCGGCCGAGGGCGCAACCTATGTGTGCCGCTGGTACGACCAAGACGCCGTCAACGCACTCGCCGTGCTGGGGACCCGCGAGTAGTACGAGTACGCAGCGCGGGCATCAAAATGTGTGCGGGGCTACACCCGATGTATGCTCGCCGTTTGGGCTGGCGGTGGGGCCCAAGCGGCGAGCTGTCTTCCGATTCTCTGCCTCCTGCGCACCCTCCTCCTCCTCCTCCTCCTCCTCCTCCTCCTCCTCCTCATTCTCCTCTTCGTCCTCTCTCCATTACCATAATTTTGCTAATCTTCCTTCGCGTCGTATGTCCTCGCTCCTCTCTTTGCCCCCATCCCCGTCTTCGTCCTCGTCTCCCTCCTTTTCCCCTCAGCCTCCCCGTCTCTCCTCTTCGTCTCTCCTCCTCGTCTTTCCTCCTCGTCTCTCCTCCTCGTCTCTCCTCCTCGTCCTCCTCCTCCTCCTCCTCCTCCTCTCCTCCTCTCTCCTCCTCCTCCTCCTCTCCTCTCCTCCTCCTCCTCCTCTCCCCTCCCTCCTCCTCTCCTCCTCTCCTCCTCCTCCTCCTCCTCCTCCTCCTCTCCTCTCCTCCTCCTCCTCCTCCTCCTCTCCTCGCCCCCGCCCCCGCCCCCGCCCTCGCCCCTGCCCCCCTGTCTGGCCCCTTGTCCCCTCAAGGCTTCCAGGGCTGGAGACGGGAGGCGCATTCACCCAACGAAGTCACTGCACAGCAACACCACGTCCAGCACAGCAACACGCCCCTGCCACCCTCTTCCCGAGTGCCCCCCTGGCGCCGGCGGCCTCTGCCTGGAGCCTCCACGAGAGCCGCACCAGGTCCAGCCAGCCTGCCCACGCACGCGCCGCGGTGGCCACGGGGGTCCACGGGGAGCGGCGAGGGCCGCCAGCTGTCGCCCCCCCCCCCCCCCTCCGCCCAGAGCTCCCGCCATACGTTTTTGTTCCTGGTAGGGTCCTGCTAAGGGTTGAGAACCTGGCCATCGCTCGGACGTCCATTTCCTATGTTTTTTTCGGTTTCGTGCGTGGTTTTTTGCGAAATGATCAAGGATGCTTCTCGCCGAAGGAAAAATGCACACGTCCGAGCGATGCCAGGGAACAGAAGCAACACTGAAGAATCCCACCTGGGGGGACGGGGGGGCCCGAGACCGCCGCCCCGGACCGCCCGGTCCAGCAGAGACTTCCCCACACTGTACAGTCGGGGCGTTGACCTAAGGAACCCTAAATAAGGAACGAGGCCCCTTTTTTCCATAAGTTAAACTTCGATTTCCGATCGAAAACATAAGGAAAACCTGAGGCAAGCTGTGAAACACTTAAGGAACGCGGAGCCCCTCCCCAACGAAAAGGGTTCCTTCTCCAGGGCCCCGACTGTATTCAGGAGTCGCGCTCTTGGCTCGGCGCTGGCCACATGTTTGGTCTGGACGGCCACGATGTCCGCAAGCAATACACTCAGATGTGATTTGACGTGCGGACCACGGGCGCTAGTCGCAGTCGCCGACGCACGGTCGCGGTGCCCGCCGAGTCGGGCAAAATTCAGCCGTGTCTTGACTTCCTTTCTACTCCTGGACCCACCTCTTCACCTTGACTGCTGTATGTGAATCCCGGCATATTCCTTCGATTTCGGCTCTCAAGGCCGATCCTGTCCTCATTTCGCCTTCTCGCCTTCTCGGCATACAACTGACCATTCTCAGATCCGTCCACCTTCGAAGCCAACCTCTGCGCTACGAATCAGCCTTTGCCGTCTCGAAGAGGAACTCCACATACGCACATACGCATCCTGCCGTTGCAGTGATATGTTGATGTAAAGAAACAGGGCGTATCATGGGGGCCGGGGAAACCATCGCGGAGGATCCGGGACGAGGAGCTTCCCCCGGGAAAGCGGGGCCGCGGGGCGAACAACTCAGGGCGGCGGATTTCAGGGCCCCCCCGGGCCTGAGGCAACCGCGCCGCCTCGCGAACACATCGCGTCGGGAACTCCTGGCTGCTCCTGGCCTCGCGGGGGCCTCACCGGGCCCCGGGGGCCGTCGAAGAGCGACTCGGGGCGAGGGGCGGGCCCCAGGGCAGGGCCCCAGGACCGGAGGGGAGGTGCTCGCGTGGCCAGACGGTTCTCTGTGGCCTGGTGGGCAGCTGCAGGGCCATGGGTGCTCCAGGACGGCGGCGGGGGGGGGCGGTCTGGCCACAGAGGCCCGCCCCCCCTCTGGTTATTTTTCTGGCCTTTTGGGGGCCTCGTGAGAGTCTCTTCGGGCTGCTTCCAAGCCTCTCGAAGCCACTCCGGGGCTTCTTGAGGTCTCCTCAAAGCTTCGTGGGGCCTCTTCAGAGTTGCTTGAGCCTTCGTCGGGGCTTCTTGGGGCCTCTGCTTCTCGGGGCCCCTCAGGAGCCTCTTCTGGGGGCCTCGGATGAGACCCCCTTGGGGGCTCTCAAGGGCTTCTTGCGGCCTCCTATATACCAGCGTCCCAGGGCCTGTAAAAACTGCTTGAGGCCTCTGAAGAACCTTTGGGACCTTCTCGGGGCAACCTTGAAGTGTCTGTTGTGTTATGTGGCTATGCGGCGAACGTGAGGAAAGGGGGGCAGGGAGAGGAGCAGGGAGAAGGGCAGGAACAAGGACAACGGAAAATGAAGGGGCGAGCGTGATCCGTGAAGTGCTCTTTTGTGGAAGCGCTGGAGGGAGAAGAGAAGGAGGACAGAGCAGGACGACACGGCAGAGGGCCAGATCAGGCCAGACGCCCCTCGGGACATACGTCCCAGCTCGGGTCGCGGACCTGCCCTATGCTAGGGAGCCCACAAAGGACGTACGCGCCCAGCTATGTACATGAACACGGCCCCTCGATTCGCGAGACCGGCCGCGTTATACGAACATTTGTGCAATGCGTGCTCTCGAAACCAGCGTGGATTCATGTGCATGTACGTCCTTGTTTCGCTCCTGACATGCCTGCAACGTGATGGGTGGAATGGGGAGGCTGCGGAGGAGGAGTGAGCAGACGGGGGCGGCGAGCGCGCTCGCGCTCCGCTGCTCTCCTCCTTTTATCGCAGGGGCCCTGCAGGGCGGAGTGCCGGGCGGGGCGCACGCCACGGCGGCCGGGGCCCACGGGGTGAGACGGCCGCGGCCCGCCCCCCGCAGACGGGCGGGGACCGCGGCGGCGGAGAGGGCGCGCCCAATCCGTCGGGGATCCAGCGGGGGCACGCTGCGCACGCGGCCCGCCGCGGCCTGGCAGGGGCCACTCCTGGGCCCCACGACGGCGTGCACGCCGCACGCACACACGCACACGCACACGCACACGCGCACACACGCGCACACACACACACACACACCCACACACACACACACACACACACACACACACACGCACACACACACACACAAACACGCACGCACGCACAGACACAGACACAGACACAGACACAGACACAGACACAGACACAGACACAGACACAGACACAGACACAGACACAGACACACACAGACACACACACACACCCACACACACACACACACCCACGCACGCACGCACGCACGCACGCACGCACGCACGCACGCGCACACACAAACACTCTATTTTGGGCGTCACGGCCCCGCGCGCAACGGCAGGGCGTAGCAAGTTCGGCGAAGCGGGGGCGCGCACGCGTCGAAAGGCCGAGCCCTCAAGCCGCTTGGGACGCACACACACACACACACCCATACACGCGCGCACACGCACACAAATTAACACGAACGCACACACACACACACACGCAGACACGATACACACAATACACACAACACGCACACAAAGCACACACACACAACACACACAACACACCACACACACAACATACATCACACTCAACACACACACACACACACCAACACACACACCAACACACACAGAGAATACTCACAACATTCACAACACACGCGAACGCACACCACCATACATTAACACACACGCACACCAACGCACACCAACACACACACACACCCCAACACACACACACACCAACACACACCAACACACGCACACAGACGTTCACATATTCAAACGTTCGAACATTCACACATTCACATGCACGCATTTCACACATTCCCTACATTCCCACAGTCACACATTCACACACACACATGCTGCTTGGCGTCGCGGCCCTGCGCGCGGCGGCAGAGCCTAGAAACACGTACACACATACTCACACACACACACTTTTTTGGAGAGGCGGCCCCGCGCGCGGCGACAGGGCGTAGAAAGTCGAGCACAAGAGGCGGAACACACACACACACCACACACACACACACCACACACAAACACACACACACACTTCGTTGGCGCCGCGGCCACGCGCGCGACGTCGCGGCGCAGAACGGTTCGGAGAGGCGCGCGCACCAGCCGGGCTCACGCAGCGGGGAAAAGCTGGATCCGCCCATGGGGGGCCGACAACGGAACTCACGGGGAGGCCAGCCGTGAGGGGGCAGACGGGGGACACCGGGGCGGGGAAAGATGAGAAGGGAAGACGAAGCGAGGCGCAGTGCGAAGAACACAAGCAGACACAGACACACACACAGACACACAGACACACAGACACACACACACACACACCAACACCCACACTCACACCCTCCCGCCCCCTCCCCCACACACACAAACAAACACACACACACACACACCACACACACACACAAGCACACACACACACACACGCGCGCACAGTCCAGGGGTCCAGGATGGCCGCGGCCATGCGTAAATGCGTGAGTATGGGTCTTCAGTGGAGCTTCCAATGGGGCCATGAAGCGTGTGAAGCATGTACCCGAACGGGCGCGGTGGGCGCATGCGAACGGAACCACTGGGGCTTTCGGTGCAATTTCCTATGAGTCCACGGGGCGGACGCATGCGAATTCCGCCACTGGAGCCTCCAGTGGAGCTCCCGATGGGGCCGCGAAACGTGTGAGGTGTACCGAAGTGGGCGTGGCGGACGCATGCGACCGCAGCCACTGGGGCCTTTGGTGGCGCTTCATATGGGACCACGAAGCGTGTGCGGGATGCGTGGTGAGCCGACATGGGCGGGGCGGACGCATGCGAACGCAATCACTAGGGCCACGAGACGTTTACAGGGTGTGCCGACATGGGTGCGGCGGGCGCGGGCGCATGCGAGCGCAGCCACTACGGCCTTCGGTGGAGCTTCCTGTGGGGCCACGAAAAAACGTGTGAGGCGTACGCCGAAGTTGGTGCGGCGGGCGCATGCGAGCGCAGCCACTGAGGCCTTCGGTGGAGCTCCCTAGGAACCACAAAACGTGTGAAGTGGTGTGCCGAAATGAGTGCGGTGGGCGCATGCGAACGCAGCCACTAGGGCCTTCGATGGAGCGCCGCCCTATGGGGCCACGAAAAACGGGTGAAGGGTGTGCCGACATGGGTGCGGTGGGCGCATGCGAACGCAGCCACGGTGGAGCTCCCTGAAGGGCCACGAAACGTATGAGGGGTGTGCCGACAGGGTTGACTGGTGCGGAGGGCAGAGACAGGGAGGGGAAGGATGCGGACGAGTAAAACGCAGGGCGCTGTCTCTTCAAAAAGAGAACTCAACAACACAAGATGGTTGGGACAAATGCAACATCGTGACACATCACGACCAGCGCCCTGGAACCCGATTTCTGATGCATTCTGAGCTGGATACATCTCTGAGGGTCCCAGAGCCTTACATCATGCGAGCACGCCCGGCTCTAATAGGAGGCGACGCCAGGGCCTCAGGGCCTGCGGGGTTGCGGAGAGGCGGCAGGGCAGGAGGAGGCAGGGGATAGAGGCCTCCCAGATGCGGTCGTCGGAGAATGTGGGGTCGGAGGATCGCGCCGCATCGCCGATACATCGGCGATGCA